ACCGAGTACTGAGCGAAGTTCGAAAAGGATTGGTCGCCCTATCGCAGAAGATCGTCGGTCCATGTGCTCTCATCCAAGGAGCACTACCTAAGATTCTGGCAGAAACTCCTGAGGAGTACTTTGAATACAATCGTCAAGTGATCTCTAAAAACGCCAATATTGTAAGTAAACTACTGAAAGGACTGGATGGAGTGCACTGCCTGCAACCTCATGGAGCCATGTACATGATGATCAGCATCGACAAGTCCATGTACGGAGACGACATTAAGTTCGCATCGGATCTGATTCAGGTACGAGCCTAATTTCTTTTGAAAGTTTAGAGGCCCTTTCTAAGTGTCGTTCGGGTTGTATGACTGATGGGCGTCTACCCGAAAGGAGAAGGTGTTCAATTGCTCCTATTTAGGAATTCACTTATGCCTATAGGGGCCTATCCTTGTGTTTTTTTCCAGTAAAATAGATGGATGAGCGGCTAGCCGATATCTAGGGGTTCTATTTGTCTAGGGGCTTTCAGTTCCCAGTTCATAGTCTAAAGCACCTAGGAATAAAGAAGCCTTTGATGGGAACTGAAACTGTGAACTATGTGGGATCGGTGTAGGGAACATTGCTGTTACTCCAGCTCCATCTCTGAACAATACGACCTCCAAGTCAAGCCACCCTTCCTGATACTCGAATGTTTCCAGGAGGAATCCGTGTATTGCCTTCCCGGATCAGCTTTTTCGTCCCCCGGATGGATTCGATTAGTCATCATTCATACAGAGGACGTGACTGAAGAAGCCATGAACCGCATTCGACAATTTTGTGAACGACGGCGACTGGGCAGATTCCCAGAGAGCGACGAGTTGTCATCTGATGAAGGCTGTGAAATTTTAAGTGAATCAAATTAGGTAGAGCTTGTAGAAAATCGATTTTTTACCTCTATTATCGATCCTTTATTGATAATCTCAATTCAATCTATGCCAATGATTACTGTAATTATTTATTTCTCTTGGTTGCAATACTTTGTCACTTTTGAACTGGGCAATCAGAAACTTTGGCCATTCCACGTTGTACATAAGATGTAAAATATATCCGGTTATTTTATGATTTCTGATTTCTAAAAGAGAATTTGCATTGTGACAATTCACTTGCTTAAGTGCAATTATGGGTCGTGAATTACTATTGAAAATTATGATTATGTATAAAATAATTATAAAGAATAAACAGTTTTGATCAAATAGTGCAGGGTGCGCCATGTATTCAACATTGATTGAGAAATCGCAGAGACGTTCGAATACACCTATTCATAGCTGGTGATTCGATATTGTCAGATGGTAGCGAAACCGGTACTTTGTTCGCGTAGCGAATTCCGCAGTTTGATCTTCGGATTTTGGATACCGGAAGCCTTGTTCGTATTCTG